AATACCGGTGACCCCGAAACTTGTCCCGATGCCCGAAATAGCACTTCCTATATATAATTCTTTACCTCCGGACCATTCCGAAACTCCTCGTGACATCCGGGATCTCATCCGGGACTCCGAACAACATTCAGGATACTGCATATACATATCCCTACAACCCTAGCGTCACCGAACCTTAAGTGTGTAGACCCTACGGGTTCGGGAGACATGTAGACATGACCGAGATCGCTCTCCGGCCAATAACCAACAGCGGGATCTGGATACCCATGTTGGCTCCCACATGCTCCTCGATGATCTCATCGGATGAACCACGATGTCGAGGATTCAAGCAACCCCGTATACAATTCCCTTTGTCAATCGGTATGTTACTTGCCCGAGATCTGATCATCGGTATCCCAATACCTCGTTCAATCTCGTTACCGGCAAGTCACTTTACTCGTACCGTAATGCATGATCCCATGACCAGACACTTGGTCACTTTGAGCTCATTATGATGATGCATTACCGAGTGGGCCCAGTGATACCTCTCCGTCATACGGAGTGACAAATCCCAGTCTTGATCCATGTCAACCCAACAGACACTTTCGGAGATACCCGTAGTATACCTTTATAGTCACCCAGTTACGTTGTGACGTTTGGCACATCCAAAGCACTCCTACGGTATCCGGGAGTTACACGATCTCATGGTCTAAGGAAAAGATACTTGACATTGGAAAACTCTAGCAAACGAACTATACGACCTTGTGCTATGTTTAGGATTGGGTCTTGTCCCTCACATCATTCTCCTAATGATGTGGTCTCATTATCAATGACATCGAATGTCCATAGTCAGGAAACCATGACTATCTGTCGATCAACGAGCTAGTCAACTAGAGGCTTACTAGGGACATGTTGGTGTCTATTATTCACACATGTATTACGATTTCCGGATAACACAATTATAGCATGAATAAAGACAATTATCATGAACAAGGAAATATAATAATAATGCTTTTATTATTGCCTCTAGGGCATATTTCCAACACGGCGCCCCCTCCCCCCCTCCGCCCTCCCTACTACTTGTGATAGGCGTTGGGATTTCGTGAAGAGGAAGGGTCAAGTAGTATAATAGCAGAAAATATTCCCCTCAGTAAAAACCAAGGTTTATCGAACCAATAGGAGATTCATGCAAACAAAGGTCGTTAGTACCCTGTACACACACAAACAAATACTTGCACCCAATGCGGGCAAGAGAATTAATTTTGATAGTGGTAGATAAATAAATTGCAAAATTAAATAAAAGTAAATAAACTACAACAAGATATTTAGAGTTTTAGTAATATGAGGTGAATGGACCCGTGGGCCATAACTTTCCCTAGAGGCATCTCTCAAGAACATAGCAAACGGTGGATACACAAATTAATGTTGGGCAATTGATAAAAGAGCGCATAGTTATGATGTTAATCATGACATGATTGATACATAGGCATTACTTCTGTGACAAGTAGACCGACATCCATCTGCATCTACTACTATTAATCCACTTCGAGAACGCTTCTATGCTTGAGTCACTATGTATTAGGTTCATAACAAACATAATAACGCTTTAAGCATAATGACATAATGTAGACAAAATAAGACCAATCAATATGATCAAACCCTGTCATTTTACCCTTAGTAGCAACAATACAAATACGTGCCTCGCTACCCCTTCTATCACGAGGTGAGGACATCGCAAGATTGAATCTACCACATAGAACCTCTCCCAATGAAGATAAATCAATCTAGTTGGCCAAATTAAACGGATAGATCGAAGAGAAATAAAAAGCTATAAAAATCACACATAATAAAGTTCATAAATAACTCAACAACTTTCAATGAACAATCTGATCATAAACCCCCAATTCATATGATCCCAACAAACGCACCTCAAAAGGTCATAATAAAGTTCATAAATAACTCAACGACTTTCAATAAACAATCTGATCATAAACCCCCAATTCATATGATCCCAACAAACGCACCTCAAAAGGTTACATCATATCAATCTCCGAAGAGACCATTGTATTGAAGATCAAAAAGACAGAGAGATCCATCTAGCTACTGCTATGGACCCATAGGTCCGGTGAGGAACTACTCGCGCATTATCAGAGTGGCAGCAAGGTTGATATAGAGGCCCTCCGTGATCGATTCCCCCTCCAGCAGAGTATCGATAGAGGCCTCCAGATGGAATCGTGGGAGAACAGAGGCTTGCGGCAGTGGAATAATTGTTTTGGGTCTCGCTCTGGTGGTTTCTGGATTTTAGGGAATTTATGGGCCTGGAATTAGGTCAAATAGAGTTGCGAGGGGGCCACAAGCTCAGAAAACTCCCCTGGGGGCGTGGCATGAGAGCTTGTGCCTCTCTCGTGTGGCATCTAGTTTCCCCACGAAGCTTCTAGGGACCCTTCTGGTCCAAAAAAATCACCGTAAAGTTTCATCACGTTCGGACTTCGGATGGTATGGTTTTTCTGCGAAACAATAGGAACCGACAGTAGCACTAGGTTAATAGGTTCTTTCCAAAAAATGATATAAATTTGCATATACAAGCATACAAGTTTGATAATATAATAGCATGAAACATTCAAACATTATAGATACGTTGGAGGAGGAGTTCTATGCCGAGGAGTGGCGACACATCTCCCTTGACTCCGGCGCCGACGACACCGGGCCGGATCCAATGGGCGGTGGCATGTCGAGGCAATTGGCTCGACCTCTACCATGGCGAGATTGGCTTGACCTCGGATGAAGATTAGTTCAATTTAGGTTTAAGTTTAAATTTATGTTTAATTTTTTGTCAAGACTAGGTTGAAGCTATGTTGAAGCTAGGTTGAACTTATGTTTAAATTTATGCATTCGGTTGAAGCTATGTTGAAACTACGTTGAATTTATGCAAATTTAGTTTTACTCCGTTATATATAGGGGATCGGTAGGTTCGGCCAAATCTTAGTGGAGTAAAAATACTCCACTAATGTTTACTCCGTCGGGCACTCCGCTATTTTTAGGGGATCAGTTAGAGTTGGTGTGACTGGATTATGCATACTACGAGAGGGGGTCATGTGGGGGTTAAAGTTAATGATACAATTGTGCCTTACTTTCAAAATCATGAAGGCCTAAAATAATGGGTTGTTCTCTCCCCGTTGTTGTTTGATTTATCCGTTGATGCTTTAGCCATTATCATGGATAAATCTAAACAAAATGACTTTTGTGAAAAGGGTGTTGGGTGGCCAATATGCTACCATATATGCTGATGACACAATTTTTCTTTTACAAGAAGATGAAGTGAGTGCAAAGAATTTAAAATTTATTTTGGGAGCTTTTGAAAATATGCCTAGACTTATCATTGATTTCCATATGAGCGGGCTTTTCCTCTTTGGAGATGTTGTTCATAAAGCTAATATCTACCAAGGAATTTTTACTCATGAGTTGAGAGAAGCCCCCCTGAAATATTTGGGGGTTCCTGTCTCTAGTAGTAGAATTAGAAATACACATTGAAAATGGTTACTGAGAAAATTGAGAAAATAGGTGCTTGTTGGCAAGGTAGATTGCTTAACATTGCTGGTAGGGGCACTTTTGGTACAATATGATTTGGCCAATGGGCCCTTATTTATGATGTATTTTTTATTCTATCCCTGTTGGGGTGAAGAAAAAGTTTATTTCTATAGAGCTAGATTGCTTTAGCAAGCTCATGGGGATAAAAAGAAATATCATTTGGTTTATGGGAACACCTACTGTCAACCAAAAGATCAAGAGGGTCTGAAATTCTTAATCTTGAGCTCATGAATAAAGCTCTTCTTGCAAAATGGCTTTGAAAATTAGAAACTGAAATTGACTTGTGGCAAAATGTTTTAGTTAGCAAACATGTGAAAGGAAAATGTATCTCTGGAATTAAACCTAAGTGGGAGATTCCCACTTCTGGTCCAGTCTGCTGAAGGTTAAAGATATCTTTTATCAACACTATAAAAGAAATCCTTGGGGATGGGAAAATACTAGGTTTTGGGAAGATTAGCGGGTGAAGATTAACCTTTGAGGTTGGCCTATCCCAGACTATATCTTCTTAGTTTTGATCACAATATCTCTGTAGTTGATGATATTGATAAAGGATGGGAGGGTTTCACCTTTAGAAGAACTACTTTTGTTGAATCTTTGGAGCCGTGAAATAGCTTGAAAATAATATGTGAAGAAGTTAGAATGTTTAGAGGTAGAGATCAAATCAAATGGATGCTCATCTCTGATAGAAAGTTCACTCCACATAATTCATGTGGCACATTAAGATCCCATCTACAATTAAAATAATCATGTGGATAATGGAAAGGAAAAGTATTTTAACTAGGGACAATCTTTTGAGGAGAGATTGGAAGGGTAACAAAAACTCACGCAATTTATCATCTCGCTATTTTGTGTTTCATCACTCAATTATTTGGCTCTCTTATTAAACACATAAATTTAGTATAGTATACCCACAAATTATCCTACAACTATTCATGTGCACTTGTAGGTGATCAGTCAATGTTACTGTTGAGCATATGTTTTTTCATTCTGTGGTGTTGATTTGGTCACCTGCTTGTCACCGATGGCCTTCTCTTGTGTGCAGGTTGTTCTCACCTGCCGGCAATCGCGGGTCAGTCACCACTTTCTCGGTGACAGTAGCCCAGCTATTGACACATATCAGGGTGTGACCCCTGCCGATTCGACTTCTTCCCTCATACCTGATTATTTCTTTTGTACCCATTTTTTATCTCATTAACATAATACTCGGATCCATATTAAATATCGCTGATTTCGTCAACTTTCATCGACAATTAATATGGATAGGACGGACTAATTCAAAAAACATCCCACCTCCAAAGCAGCCCACCTCCAAAGCCCCCGGCCAGAGCACCGTAGGCCCGTAGCAACGCCGCAACGAGATTCAAACGCGCCTCGACATTTCAAACCAAAATCACTCGTCTTCCTCCTCCCACTTCTTCATTCCCCGCCTCCCAATGCGGACTCGCTTCCTCGCCGCCGACTACTTCTCCCCGCCGTCGGCGGCCTCCTGCTCGGACCAAGCCCTAGCCCTAGCGTCCTTGCGCTTCCCTCCTCTCCCCGTCCCCTCGCTTCCGCCCGATCCGCATTTCCCGCTCCTCCTCCCTTTCCCCGCCGCGGCCGACCTCCCCGCGGTCAGCATCTCGTGCGACGATCTCGACTCTCTCCCCATATCCTCCGCGCTATCTGAGTTCCTCGCGGCCGTTATTCCGCAGGCCCTGCCCGCGCCGGCTATCCCCGCCGCCGACGAGGTGAGTCAGCTTTCCCACGGTGGTTCGCGTTCTCCACTCGTGTTGGTTTGGTCGAAGTAGCTCGGATTGGAGGCGCTTCGTATGGTTTTACTAGTTAATTTGGTTATTCTGTGACAAAATTCGCGCGGCATTTGTGAATTGCAACGGCCTGGATGCTTCACGCAGGGATTGGATGACTTCCTCTACGACAGGGGCGGCTATCGCAAGGGTTTTAGCTTGAGGGAGTCTGTTGCATTCGAAATCCCTGATGTAAGTGAAGCTTTTATGCTTGTATTCCGTGCATTCGTGGTTTCCCTCCTCTTTTCGGGTAACATTTGTGAACAATTTTGTGTTTATTGAAGGGATTGGACGAGATTAGCCGCGAGAAGGATGGGAAGGGAGACGGATCCAGGTCAGATAGATTGGGGACCTCCACTGACACGAAGGTGATTGAAGTTTGCCCCTATGTTGTTCGTCTGTTTCGTTACTGTTCCGTAGGAGATTACTGTGTGATTTACTGATTTCTGCATGTGGTGACGTTAGAGATGGGAACTGCTGAAGAAGCACATATTTGAGGTTGTAGAGGTTGATCTCCCGCAGGTAAGCTTCGTTCATAGATATCGGTCAAATCTTCTGTGATTTCATTGTTATGGCTCAAGGTTTGTTGTTTTTGTGTTTTTTAAGATTTTGGAAGGACACGTTGCATCCTCTGGTGGTGACGAGTCTGGTGATGGTGTCACCTTATTGTTTCGTGTTCCAGATGCGAAAATCCACCTGGTACTTTACATCATCTCATCAAAATTTCAAGCAGTTGCCAGTCTATTGTTTCAGAATCTATGTTGTGCTTATAATTTAATGGTTGTGATACTGCTGTTCCTTTTACTGGGTACCGTTACAGTTACATACGTAATGATGTGAATCAGGTTTCCCTTGTACCTTCTGTATCCACAGTTGTTTCAAAAGTAAAAATTTATATCCATCTGGACACTGTTCTGTACTATATATAAGTAATACTACCTCCGTTTCAGTTTACAAGTCTTGCGCGTATACCTAAGTTGCCAATTTTATCATCCTAATATAAACTATATAACACAAAAATTATACCTTTTGAAAGTAGAAACTCCGAAGTTTATGTTGGTATATTTTTTACAATATATGATTTGTATTAGGTTGGTCAAATTGACGACCTAGGGATACGCGCATGCCCTGTAAACTGAGAGAGAGGTAGTAACAATATATGTGATTACCATGAAGTCATATCTGTTATGCATAGCGGTTGAAGTTGATTGCACCCAACAATTAGTGATTAATATGTTATCGGTTCGGTTCCCTCGTGTTCTCTTAACTCAAAGCATCATGATATTTATTACTCCCTCCGATCCATATTAAGTGTCGCAGACTTAGTACAAAATTTACTAAGTCTGCGACACTTAATATGGATCGGAGGGAGTTTTACTAAGTCTGCGACACTTAATATGGTTCGGAGGGAGTAATACATTTTGCTCACAGTCCCATCTTCTGTTTTAATTTCTCGTAGGATTTCATTGATATTGACACTGAGATGACATTAAGCTATCCAACTGAACTTGTGGATTCAATTTATCAAGTAGAGAAAATCCCTGTGGAGCATAATGATGAGGAACATTTGTCTGCAAGGAATATTAACTTTTTAGACATTGCAGCATTAGATTGTGGTGTGACAATACCACTACTGGAGGTTCATAGGCATTCTTGGGAGCTTAATGGGTGTCCCACTAAGGCAGAGATATCTAATATTTTTCATAACCTTGTTGAACATTTGGGTGAAGCACAAGTTCAGCATTCAGCGTTGAACTCAACTGAGTTCTCAAGATCAACTGATATGGACATGTTGGCCTTTGTTTCCAAAGATGCCCCATGTGCAGACTATCAAGCAGATAAACCAATAACAATTAAGGCTGCAGTAGAAATGGATCTTGTGAGGATCAGTGATAATCTTCTACTTGAGAGAAACTCGGCATTATACCCTCTCAAGCCTGATGGCACCTTTTCAGATTTGCCTTGCTCAGTTCTTTTAGAAGAAGCACAGATCATTGATTTCCCTTCAGAGGATGTCTTCAAAATGTTTGTTCAGTCAGATGCAGCTGAGCTGAATACATCTGATGAAATATTCAAAGACGACTTCAATCCAGCAAGGCGTTTCTATGAATCAGTGGTTAGCTCTGAGTTGGTGCTGGTTGACGATACATTCAAATCACTACCTACACCTATTTTATCTGATGATGATATGACACTGAGGTCTATGGTCCCCTCCATGGGAGAAGTACTTTGCTCCCTGAAAACTTATTCACTCTCTGCAGCCGACAGAATTTATTTGGACTGGCATCTTTTATTGGAAGGTCCATGCAACCGGGAGATATGCTCTACCTATGCAATCATGGTTGAGGAGGTAAAAAGTTGCCAGTTCAATTCTGAGATGCAAGTCAATTGTCAGCAGACATCAGCACTTGGTTTTGATTTTCTTGAGTATTTCTGGAGAAGTGCAAAACACCAAGATGAGGATAAACAGAACAATATTTATGTGCCTACCCCTCTACCTCATGATCCACCTCCTGCAGTGGAAACGGCTCAAAAATACAGACAAGAAAGTGATACTGGAGGCAACGGCCACATGGAAAAACCAAGTTCAGGAAAGGCAGCTTCCTTATTCAAGTCAATGTCACAATCCAGTGACATAAATTTCTACTTGAATGTCAGAAGCGGCACCAAGAGAGGAACTAATGATGAAAATGTTTCTACTTTAGATATCCCTACTTTAAATGAACAAGCAGCTTCTTTTCCAAGCAGGCCTAAAGTTGACAAGCTCATAGAAATTCATCCTGTCAGCCTCTCAGATTCAATCCGAGCCCTTATCAAACACATCCATAGAAGCTATACAGCTGCTCTGCAAGAAAGTGCATATTTGAGGCATACTTTCTCGGATGGGCATTTAAGCATTCCGAAGCAGAAGCTTCTTGGACTGATAACTGGAGATGGTTCAGATGGCTTTGATAATCACTGTAAACATGAAGATAAGATGGAACTCATTGTACTCTATGGATTAAAACAGGTTGCATATTATCTATGTTTCTTTGGTTTGCATGCTGGCCATCTGTACATAAGCAACCTGATTGGAAGCTTTGAAAATATTCCTGAGAGGTTAAGAAATATTCACAGTTTCATTGGTGAAGCACTGTGGAAAGCTGAGAAGCATCAGATTGACTCTCACCCATCATTGCATGACATTGAAATGATCCTGAGATCTAATACACACACCAGCCAACAGATCCTTATAGTTGCCGACACAACTTTCTGGCTGCCATTGGGTCAAAAATTAACTTCGATGAAGATGACATTTGTTGAGCTAGGAAAAGACCCTGCTGCAGCTTATTTAGATCCGGTGGACAAGCCAAACCCTACAACTTGGGTGCTCAGAGGATTGCCGAAATCAGACTGCATTCTGTTAGATAATAAGTAAGTACACATGATAAACAAACCACGCCAGTTATCTGCTCCAGTTCTTGTTTTACAGAGTTTACTACAGACCAAGTTACTTCTAGAAGCAAATATTCTGGTTCTTGGAGTAACCTACTCAATCTTTATGAAAAAAAATCATGTGAGCTCTACCAAAATGTCCCCAATTAGCATACAGAATGAGTAAGCCACCTAGAGGGAATTCATATAAGTATAGAATGAAATCAGCTCTTTCATTGCAGCATTGTACTCCACTTGTTTTTCTTGTCGGATCCTTACAAAAAATCCAAATGTCAGGACAATTTATTTACAAGAAACCATAAATAATGGTTATAGTTTTGAACAGGCTGAATACTTCGCAACATTTGAACTTCACTTGAACCAAGACTAGATTTGTTTCCATTTTTTGTGAGCAAACGCATGTATGCGTTGTATAACAGTTCATGCCCAATCGTTAGTTGACTTTCTTTCTAACTGATTAGACAGATTACAAATTTACAACTCTAGAAGCATATTTGTAAAATGATTTGTATTTTTCAGAAGGATCTATGCCTTGGTACTCCCTCCGTCCGAAAAAGCTTGTCCCTCAAATGGATGTATCTAGATACATCGATTTGAGGGACAAGCTTTTTCGGACGGAGGGAGTACTTATCAAGCCATCTTGCATTTTCTGTTCTCATTGGATTAAACTGCCCTACCTAAATACTTTTGAGGCTTCTGTTTTTCCTATGCATTTTCCCCCATTGATGATTAAACTGCCCTCCCAAAAATTTGTAGCTGAGTTCATTTATATTTTTAGGTAGATGTTTTTTTTCTACAAGCATCATGATTTTGGTGTAACTGTTATCAATATTTATTTTGGTCTCAATTTTGAAGGAACATTCCAGCTTCATTCCCTTTCAGTGAGTTTGGCATCGTACTGGAATACGGAGGTCCAGATAAATTATCTACCTTGTTGTCTCTGGCTCCTAATTTAGATGGTTTTCCACAACTGCATTTCCTCTATGTCAAAGTGGATGTTGAAGATCCTTCGGTTGCACTTGTTGAGGACAACCCTACAGACCAGGAGTTGAGAGCCACACTGGTGATTATCGATTACTTCTTCACACTTGCATTAGTTCGATCCTCATATGTTAGTCATGATGTTAGGAACTTATTGCTGTTTTCGTTTTACCATATGTTGGTCAAGCTGTTTGGAATTACTACTGTTTTACCATGCACATGTTAAATATGAAGGATACTCATTGGTTGTTGTTTAGTTCAGTAATTCTAGTATCCGACGAAGTTCAGTTTTCTTCTAGATAAACTCTATACTCTCTAGTGAGTTCCAGATCATAACAGAAAATTGACTACCTCCATTCCAACAAAATTGAAGTTCTAGGTTTGTCCTAAGTGGACGGCTAAAGCGTGCTGATAATGTCAAGAGAGGTCGGGGTAAACCGAACTTGACATGGGATGAGTCCGTAAAGAGAGATATGAAGGACTGGAGTATCACCAAAGAACTAGCCATGGACAGGGGTGCGTGGAAGCTTGCTATCCATGTGCCAGAACCATGAGTTGGTTGCAAGATCTTACAGATTTCAGCTCTAGCCTACCCCAACTTGTTTGGGATTGTTGTTGTTAGGTTTGTCCTAAGTCAAACTTCTTTAAGTTTGAGCATGTATATAGGAAAATATATTTATATTAAAAACAAATATATATAATATGAAAACATATTTTATGATGAAACTAATAAAATTAATTTGGCGTTGTAGATGTTTGGTATATTTTTCAACAGATTTGGTCAAACTTAAAGATGTTTGACTTAGGACAAACCTAGAACTTATAATATTTTGGAACGAAGGGATAGATGATTACAAAATGATGCAACCTTTTTCTTGGCACATCTCACTATAATTTGCAGAAATAAGCAACTGGCAATATTCAAACAATTATAGGTCACTTAACTCAAGTTTTCAGTGGCTGCATAGTTTTGTTGCGCATGGGTTTTACATGTCAGATCTTGTGGATGGTGTACATTGCATTTGAATTGTTCAGAATTTTTTTGAGACCCTCATTTAGATGCTACCAATGGTTGATGGGGCAGTAAATGATCTCCTGTCAAAACATAAATGCCTACGAAGAAATAAGAATCCGTCCTGATTATTTGCAGGATACGGTTTTGCATGCACTTCAGAAAGATCTGCAAGAGAAGATGAACAAGATGCGTATTGTTGATTCACTGAACTTTATACCAGCAACTAATCAGCTGCAAGGACGGCAGGAAAATCTGTGCAAATATAGCACTGCTGATTCAACAAAAAAATTGCCTGCAGATGATCGACTGCTCAAACAAAATTTTTTGGAGAAAGAGTTCGCTGATGCACATCATTTTGTTCCTACAGCTGAACAGCGGCACAGAGAGGAAATGTTGAGCAAAAGAACTATCCTCCATTCACAACATTTTGTGCCTGCAGTTGAGAAGAGCAGCTCTACTTCTTCTGTATCTGGAAATGCCATAAAGGCCCCACAAGACAATCTATCTGGTACTGACTTGCCTTCCGGTGTAGAAGTTGGTCGTCTCACTCCAGGTAGATTATCCACCCCGGCGATTGTTGTAAATACTGGAAGTCATGGAAAGAATATGCTTTTCTCTCGGAGATCATCTTATCAGCAGATACTATCTTTGGAGAAAGGAGGAATGCAGGTTGTGGAACGAGACGTTGATCTTCCTGTGGACCTAATACTCAGTACTGCAGCTTGCCTAGTATGGTTTGAGACAAAAATCTTTGGGAGCAATGAATTCACAGCATCGGCAGAGACATCTAGTATAACAAATTTTGTAGAGATCATTGCGACCAACATTCTGATGTCAATTAGCTTCTGTTTCCGTGGTTGTATAATGGTAATTGGTTTTGAACTCCTGAGATATTTGCTTTTACCTGATAGGGTTATCATGGTATACCTGTCTTTGAGTTATGTCTGCAATTACTGAACAGTTTCGTTGCTTCTACTTTTGCAGGTCTTTGAAGGTGAACCTCACTCCCTTTCTGCTGTAATGGAGACATCTGATTCTCTGTATGCTGCGGCTGCTAGTCTGATGATGAACGTGCAGATATTCTTCTCATGCACACCCAAGTTAACAGATGAGATAGTTCTCAGTTGCATTAGGAATGTGAATATGTTGAATAAAGCTCCTTCTCCAGATATACCTGAATCAGAAAGCTTGGCTGAATCATTTCTCACAAAATTCCCTTCAATCAATCCCTTGTCTGCATACAGTATGCTTTCTTGTGGAAGCAGCCTTGTGGAGTTCCTCAGTTGGTCACATGAGCGTCGTATACAGGCTGTTCAGAAGTATCTGTTCTCCCCGCAGAGCATTTCTCTGTTCAATGCTTTGTGCAAATTCGGTGAGCTAGGTGAATCTAGGTCTGTGATGACTGAAGGCTCTTCTGTAGATTCAGACATCTGTAGTGCATTGTTGCAGTCTCCAAGTAAAAGGAAAAGGTGCGCCTCTCAAGTTTTTGCAGTACCAACTAGTGATCCCCTCCATCCGGATTCTCTAAACCAATTGCCTGGTGATTATGTAGAACATAACAATGTATTCTCACAGCCTAAGTTGAGGAGGTTCTCGGACGCGGAGGATGCAACGCCTCAGCTCCCAGAGGTCTTTATGTTCAATCAAAGTTTGAGTAGGGGAGGTGAAGGGGTCTCTTGTCTGCCAAGAAAGCACAATATTGGTGCAATAATTGGCAATCAGATCATGGGTGATCATATCAGCAATGGATTTACTGCAGATACGAGGCATTGTAACCAAAGAAGGGCTAACAATATGGTGGACACATATGACTTCTCTTGGCAACCAGAATCAGGGGGTAAAGAACCTATCAAAAGCTCTTTTCCCGCAAGCGAACCATCATTCAGCCGAAGTTACAGTCATCCAATATTTCCATCTGCATTGGAGATCAATGATGATACTGGTTACTGGGACATTCCAGGAGGTGCACATGGCACTTGGAAGGGTCATGTACATGGGGGTATTGCCTCAACCTCTTGCAGAAATGATGTGGGCAGCAGATATCATGAGCCAAGAGAGGAAATAATGCAGAAGGGTCATGTACATGGGGATATTGCCCCAACCTCTTGCAGAAATGATGTGGGCAGCAGATATCATGAGCCAAGAGAAGAAATAATGCAGAAGGGTCATGTACATGGGGATATTGCCCCAACCTCTTGCAGAAATGATGTGGGCAGCAGATATCATGAGCCAAGAGAGGAAATAATGCATGATCCAGGAAGTTCGCTTGCTTTTCTGAAACAGGATTCTGGCTTTCATGCAACTCCACATGGCTCAAGCTGGGAAATTGATTATCTCAGGCAAATGAACGAAAAAAGAAGAGCACGTGAGGAGAGATCAAGATGTAATACATCAGCAATGATGTCAAATTCAAGGATGAGGGATGGAGCCTCAAAGATTATAAATCCTCCACTTATTGGATCCTTCAGATACCAGGGAGATGGAGATACTCCTTCAAGGAACCGGAGCCCATCAGTTGGGACTCGGCATTATGAGAAAGCCAGAGAAGGAACTAAAGCACATACCCATAGAGCAAGAAAAGATTTCAAGATGCAACCAAGTGTAAGTCAGGAGAACAGGATAGAGCCGTCCATATATCCATCGTGGACTCCCGTTGACAAGAGAGCCAGACAGGTAAATGCAAACAGACTCTGATGTCATAAAACGGCTAGTGTTTCTTATATGCATAAAGTAATCTGGCTGAGTTTGTGCAGAAACTTTCATTTGCAACATACGGGAAGGAGAAGCAAAGCAAGTTGGTCTGGAGAGACCCAAATAGCTCTGGTGCTGAGTGTGGCTTCCGGAAAAGATACCGGGAAGAAGGTACGTAGATTATCAGAGGTCGTCGATACTTGATGCAAATTAGTGATGTTTTAAGTGGCATTGTAAATATATCCCACGAAAATATGTCTTAACACTCTTTTTGATGGTGAACTTTGTTGGAGATAGAATGTGCACAAAGTAACAATGTATGTTGTCTGTCACACTGGCACCACAATTTGTTTTGGAACATTGAGGGTGAACCAGCGGTGTCATTGTTTGTCATTTATAGAGGGAAAATGGGGATGCCTGTCCTGTTCAACCTGCAAGGTTGGTCTGGCGTTTGCGCATTCGATGTGTTCAGGGAGTTTGATCTGATTTTGCACTTGGGTGGTTGTGTTGAAAAGATGTCTCGCTTTCTCAAGCTTATACTCCAGTTATTTCTGTTTAGAAAGCAAAACCACTAGTACAGTATTTCCCCCCCTTGTCCACTGTTGCCTGACTGGATGTGCTGAATAACCCAAAAATTGCACGCGTGCATCGGGGACCCCTGCAATTCTGCATATATGTTGTCCAGCTACGGGAAGGAGTTGAAATTGTTCACGTTGCGCAAGATTCAACTTGTGGAACCCGTCACCAGCTCGTACTCGATTATCCGAGTCCGACCCCGGCTCATCTTTACACGCGCCTTTTAAATCACCATGGGCCCTCGTAGCGACGCTAACCTCGCGCCGAGTTGGATCGTATCGTCCGTCGTCTGCGTCGCTTCAAATTAACCGAGCTCTGCACTCGGCGACCTAAGATCGATCGAGAGATGCAGAACGGCGGCTACTACGACCCCCGTCCCAGCACGGTCCCGTCCGGCGCGTACGGCGGGTGGGCCGGCTTCCGCGACGGGCCCAATGCTCCGCCCTACCGCCAGCCGCAGCCGCAGCAGCAGCAGCAGATGATGACGCCGCAAAGGAGGGAGGAGGTGCTCATGGAGGCCGGCCGCCTCGCCGCGGAGTACCTGGTGGCCATAGGCGAGCTGCCCCCGCACGCGCTGCGGAGCCGCCCGCCGGCGCCGCCCCCGTTCCGGGAGCGCCCGCTCGCGAGGCAGCACTTCCGCTTCCTTCCGCGCGACTTCGCACGCCCGTTCGCTCCCCGGCCGGTCCAAGGCCGGCCCATCGCCAAGCGGCCCCGCCCGCCCGCGCCGGGGCGGTTCCAAGGACGCCCGCCGTTTCACCCGGGCGCGCGTGCTTCCGCTCCTCCCGCGGCGCCTGTCGGGAGCGTGACGCAGTCGCAGGGCGCTTTGAACGATGCGACGGCGGGGGGCGGGAACGGGAGCAGCAGTCAGCCCGTGACGATGGAGTAGGCGAACCAAGGCTAATCTCCACATGGTGTTCTAGCGTTTCGGTAGTAACTATAACTACGAACATCATACACAATGGAGTTTTTAGGCCTCGTACAATGAAAGATACTTTTTTTAGGGTACAGTGGAAGATGCTCAGGAGAGGTTCTTAAGGCCTAAAGCTGTGTTTGTCCAGTTTTTACTTAGGCACCGGCGTTTGCTTTTCATAGCATAGGTGAAACGGCTGTGCTACACAAGTAAATATTGGTGCTTAAGATAAAATTGATCGTTTTAAGAGATGAATACTCAGAGCACTTCAGATTTTTGGCATGACAAACGGAATGCTTTTCATGCCACATAATGTTCGTCAAGGGTGACAAATTTAGTTGATGAGCATTGTAAATCCGTTTTAGTTTATTTATTATTTTGTCAGGAAATTGTCGTGCTTTCAAACTAAATTTGTCATCCTTGCGCCAATATAGATTTCCATAAAAGATGTTCGATTTTCTATGCTTAGTTTTGCTATAAATCTCATCTAGATAATTTTTAGTTATGTTACATCTAAGTTTTAAACCATACGATCTGATTGCGAAGATTTGTGTTTGTTGCATGGTTACACTCGTAGGAGATCGTCGTCCTCAAAAAGTGTGATTGTTGGGTTGCGTTTTATGTTTTTCTGTTTGTTGGGATGTGGCGTTGGTCACCTCCTTTGTGGGTCACATGTGCTCTTTTTTTTGCCTGCACGGAGAGGATGTGTCCACATTGTGTTTTGTTTGGTTTATGTTATCTTTTTAGGAAAAGAGAAATGATAGCACATGCACATTCAACTTAGCCTAGATTCGCTATTTCATAACGTAGTTGTACATATTTCATGTGTGTGTTATTTTGTCTGTTGTGTCCACTTGATTTTTTATGTTCTTGGTGAGAAGGACACACAATTTGTCCGACCAAGTTGCATGTTTATCCTTGACTCGTAACTGGATTTATGGTTGTCGAGTTGCAAGCGCACCCTCGACTCCCAACTAGAGCCTCTGTTTTCGTTTTCACCTCAGTTGCAGGTCCACCCTTCTTGACTCACAACTCGATCCATAGTTCCTTTCATCCTAGTTGCAAGTCGATCTTTGACTCGTAATTGGGCTCGTAATTTCGTAGTTGTCTCAGTTGCAAATCCACCCTCGACTTGCAAATGGGCTCATAGTTGTTCCAGTTGCAAGTCCACCCTTGATGCATATGTTTTGTTTTCCATCCACTTGCAAGTCCACGTTCATCTCACAACTGGGATCGTATTTTGTTTTGGTCTCAGTTGCAAGTCCACCCTCAACTCGCGAATGGTATATTAGTTTTGTGTAGTTGTCCTAGTTGCATTTCCGCCTTGACTCACAACTGGGCCCATAATTTGTTTCTCCTCATTTGCAAGTCCACCCTTGACTCGCAACTGGACTCGTAGTTTCGTAGTTATCTCAGTTGCAAGTCCACCCACGACTCGTAACTACGCCCATAGTTTGTTTTTTCATCCTAGTTGCAAGTCCACCCTTGACTCGCAACTAGGCTTGTAGTTGTCTCAGCTACTCGACTCGCAATTGGTCTCGTAGTTTTGTGTAGTTGTCCCAGTTACAAGTCCATCTTCGGCTCGTGACTGGATCGTAGTTTGTTTTCATCCAAGTTGCAAGACCACCATCCACTCGTAACTACGTCCATAGTTTGTTTTTTCATCCCAGTTGCAACTCCATCCTTGACTCGCAACTAGGCTTGTAGTTGTCTCAGTTGCAAGTCCATTCTCGACTAGCAACTGGTCTCGTAGTTTTTTGTATAGTTGTCCCAGTTACAAGTTCGCCCTCGGCTCGTGACTGGGCCCTAGTTTGTTTTCATCCAAGTTGCAAGACCACCATCCACTCGTAAATGGGCTTGAAGTTTTTATTGTCGCCTCAGTTTGCAAGTCCGCCATCAGCTTACAACTAGCACCGACCTTTTTTGTTCTACACTCCTAGTTATAAGCCCACCCTCTACTTGCAATCGGTTTTTTTTGACCTTTTTGTTGCCTTAGTTACAAGGCCACCCTTGTTTCTGCGAGTAGGTTGTCCATTTTTTTATTCTTCACCCCAGTTGCAAGTCCATTACCGACTTGTAGTTGGGCTTCAAGTTTTTTTGTCGCGACTACAAGTTCAAGTTTTTTTGTCGCGACTACAAGTTCACGTCAACTTGCAACCAGGGTGAGCGGTCACTTTTTATCCCAGGTACAATTCCATCTTTAATATGCAAATTTTGAGCACCTACCCTTACAATTTCTAGCCCACGTTTTCTTTTTCTTTTGCCCTTTTTAGCTTCTCAACATTATTTGGTTTTTTACTTTTGGCCCCAACCCAGAATGGTTCATAAATTTGGCCACTCCAGATAGCCTCTTGTCAATCTTGGAAATTGCAGGAATAAGATCTTGAACTGTGCGTTTGGTAGTGCCCATAGGGAGACCCAGACAAGTAAATGGCAGACTCTCTACCTTGCATCCAAATGAATTTGCCAGCATAGAGATTGATTGTTGATCAATATTAATAGGGGTCATGGAGGACTTGCTGAAGTTAACAAACATGCCAGTAGATAAACTAAATAGATGGAGTAAATATTTCGGATGCATAAGCTGATCTTCATTAGCTGGCATTATCATTAGAGTGTCATCAGCATATTGGATGATTGGATAGTCTTGACCATAAGCATGATCAATAGGTAGAGAAATTTCACCATTTGACCAAGCAGCATTAATCACAGATTGTAGCAGGTCAGCAGCAATAACATATAGGAGTGGTGAATGAGGATCACCTTGTCTAACTCCTCTTCTGCATATTTTTTTACCTACAACTCCATTAAGAAGAACAGCAGTAGAAGCAGAGTGTAATATGTTGGACACCCATTTGATCCATCTAGGTCCAAATCTTTTGGCCTTGAGCATAGCAATAATAGCCTTATATTCAATCTTATCAAATGCCTTTTCAAAATCCATCTTGAGAATGATGATAGGTTTTTGATTGATGGCAGAAGTGAAGGTATTCAAAAGCATATCCCAGACAGTCTTGTATGTTTCTGCCTTTGATAAATCCATATTGGTTCTGACGAATAACCGTGGTGATGATCTTTTGAGCTCTATTTGCCATTAACTTGGTGATGAATTTAAGAGGAAGGCTAACCAGTGATATAGGTATAAAGTCATTCATATTCTCAGGATTAGCAATCTTTGGTATGAGTGTGATGAAAGTAGTGTTTATACTTTGAATATCACAGTTACCTTCAAAGAAGTCCCAAATCATAGCGTAAAAATCTTGTTTAATAATATCCCAACATTTCCTCAAGAAAGAACCATTAAAGCCATCAGGTCCTGGAGCTCTGCCAGTAGGGAATTCTTTGACAACCTCATCAATTTCATCCATTGAGAATGCTGCATCAAGTTCAGCTGAGTCATGGGATTGGATGAGTTCATCAAGGTTGAATAGCATGGTAGGATTAATGGATCTGCCCAGTCTGTCTTTGTAGGATTTCTAGATGATTGCAACTTTATGATCATGATTCTGATATGATGCTCCATCATCTCCATGGATAGTGGTAACATAATTTTTTCTGTAGCTCTGAGTAGCCATAGCATGAAAAAAATTAGTGTTTTCATCATCAAGTTTGACACTTCTCATTTTGAATCTGGTCTTCCAATAAATTATTTTAATTTCCAATAGTTTAGCAGTGTGCCTCTTCAATATTTTC